TTATTTTCTGAAGAAGGGTCTAGGCCCGAAACGTCAGCCTTCCTGCTCCTCTGATGCTGCTTGGCCTGCTGTGTTCATCCAGCTCTACACTTTGTTGTCTCAGATTCTCCAGCATCTGCAGTTCCTACTATCATTGAAGACAGGGAACTTGGAGTTGATTTTCAGATCAATCATAAAGTGCTCAATGATAGAACTGGCTTGAGAGGTTGAATGATCTGTGCTTGTTCTTACGTTTCAAAGTTCATGAGATTATTACAGCAAAATTTTTCCTTCGTAGTTTTTCATTTGGGAGATCTGAGTTGAAGAATTTAATTAATAAATTGGCATTTTCTCAATTTCCTTCCTCTCATCTGTCCATGAAGGGACACAACAAATAAAACTACAATGTATTAAATGACTGCCAATAGACAACAGCTCATTGTATAATGTTTACAATCAAGACAGGAATTTTGAAAATATAAAAGGATGATTATTTTTGCATTTGCATTTCTGCAGGGGGCAATGCCCCAGTCAGGAATCATTGAGAGGTTACATGAGAATTCCCAATTTGCCCTTGCCTCAGGCAATGTTCCATGCCAGATGTGCAAATTCCTAAAATTCCTGACCAAGCCGATGCAAATGGCCGTTGTTTGTTGCATTGATGCTAATCACATAGCATGGATATGTAGGCGTGGTAGGTTTGATTCCCTTATCTAAAGGACATTAGTGAACAAATTGGGTTTTGTGCTAGCGCTAACTAAAAGTGACCAGATTTATTGAGTCGGATATTGAGTGGCCACACAAGTGGATAGGGAGTATGGCATGCTTGCCTTTATTGGTCAGGGAATTGAGTAGAAGAGTCAGGCTGTCATGTTCAGTTTTATAAGGCTTTGGCTCGGCCACGCTTAGAGTTGGTTGCCTCACTACAGAAAGGATGTGGAGTCTTTGGAGAGGGAGCAGAAGAGGTTTACCAGGAAGCTGCCTAGATCACAGGATATGAGCTGTAAGGACAGGCTAGAAAAACACAGGTTGTTTTCTCTGAAGCGGCAAGGGCTGAGGGGGAGACTTGATAGAAGTCTATAAAATTATGAGATGCATAGATAGTGTTGATGGTCAGAATCTTTATCCCAGTGTTGAGATGCCTAATACTAGGGGGTGCGCAATTAAGGTGAGAGGGGAAAGTTCAAACGAGATGCGAGGGGCAATTTTTTTTACAGAGAGTGGAAGGAATCTGGAACGTGCTGCCAGGGGTGGTGGTGGGGGCAGATATGAAAAGGGCATTTTAGGGTCTTTTAGATAAGCACATGGATATGCAAGGAATGGAGGATATGGACTAAGGGAAAGCAGAATGGATCAGTTTAATTTGACATCATGTTCGACACAATATTGTGCCGTACTGTTTTATTTCTATTACATGTTAGAGGTTAAACTAATAGCATCTGGGATGTTGTTCCAAAACAACAGGCACTAAGCTCATATATGCTTTGTTTTTCCTTCATTTTTGACATGCTTGTACTTTCTCGTCACCGTCATGAAGACTGACTGAATTCCACATTCTCCCTCCTTCCCTCACCAAGAAGGGCTGAGGACAGTCATAGCAATCACCAATCACTGTCAGCAAACAACTGGTGTGTAGCAGTGAAGACAACCTGGGGTTTATGTGAGATAACAAGGTGTAGATCTGGATGAACACAGCAGGCCAAGCAACATCAGAGGAGCAGGAAAGCTGACGTTTCGGGTCTGGCCCCTCTTCAAGAAATCTGAAGAAGGGTCCAGACCCGAAACGTCAGCTTTCCTGCTCCTCTGATGTTGCTTGGCCTGCTGTATTCATCCAGCTCTACACCTTGTTGTCTCAGATTCTCCAGCATCGGCAGTTCCCACTATCTCTGGGATTATGTGGACCTGTTCCACAAGGACCATACAGAAACGTTGTTTATTCCCCAGACCCATGCTGGCACACATAATGGTCCAACTCATCGTGCCGATGTTTTTAAGCAACCAGTTCAGACATGTGAGGACATGCCTCTGGAGCAGTTGGGATTTGAACCTCCTAGCCCTGAGGTACGGATGCTACCACTGCACTACGTGGCCCCTCGAACACATTGTTCTGATGTCAAAATGAAGCTCCAGTATGACCAATGCATTCGTAGAATCCCTAGAGTGTGGAAGCAAGCCATTCAGCCCATCTAAGAGCATCCCACCCAAACCTAACCCCCAACCCTGTCCCTGTAACCCTGCATTTCCAATGGCTAGTCTACCTAAGCTGCACATTCCAGGACACCATCAGCAATTTAGCATGGCCAATCCACCTAACCTGCACGCCTTTGGACTACATTTCTAAATATCATTGTTTGTCACCATTTTCTCCATCTGCAGTGTTGGTAAACATTTTCATTCTCTCTGAGAGTCATTCATTTTGAACAGGAATACTGGCTAAATCTGGAAAACTCAGCAGTGATTCAATACCTGTCCATTCTGTCCCAAAGTCTCACAGCTTATTTCGTTCCTAAAATGTCACTTGGGACTAAAAGAAGGGGCTGCTGATTAGCACAGAGCAGTTTATTGAGGGAGAGGCACAACCACACACTAACAAAACAATCTCTTGTGTAGTTTGTAGACAAAATGGGTGAGGTTTAAGAGTAAAATGCAAATCTCACCAACACGTCTGGTTTCTCTTTTCCTGAATAAGTCTCCCTAGTCTAAAAGGAGACAGGATTACATCTCGCAAACTGTACTCAGACAATAGTTGCTCTGCCTTTCTCTCCAGTCAGGTCTAGAGTGTGGTAACCAGTTAAGGCTCAAGCAGTTGTTTCTACTGGATCCACAAAACACCAGACGGATGAGTGAGAGAGTGAGGCTATCTTGCTCTTTAGTCAACCATAACACATACAGAAATACAGACACAGAGAGATTTCACTGGGGTGGATTGTTCTGATCACAGACACAGTCCCGACATCACAGCTAGCAACAGCCAGGTGGAAAGTAAATTCCTATTTATAACTCGTGCTTTTGTTATGTTTCCAACCAAAAATAAAATTGCACATGAAACTCAAAACTTTACACCTATAGGCTTAGTAATGAATAATTCAAAACTGTTTTATGCTTGTCTTTCCTTCAGCTAATGCACTCAGTTTTCTAACCCTCTGCTCAACACAGTCCCATTTCTCAGTTACAATTGGGCAGTCCTACATCCCGATTCAAGTTTTGTACATCTCGCCAGATTCTTGACCCCAGTACTCTCCGTACATAATTCCCTCCCCAAACATTCATATGGATCATTTTTTAAAAGTTAATTTGTGGGATGTGAGCATTGCTGGCTGGGCCCAGAATTTATTGCCCATTTCTAGTTGCCCTTAAGAAGGTGGCGGTGAGCTGCCTTCTTGAACTGCTGCAGTCCTGTGCTGTAGGTAGACCCACAATGCCCTTAGGGAGGGAATTCCAGGATTTTGACCCAGCGACAGAGAAGGAATGGTGATATATTTCCAAGTCAGGATGGTGAGTGGCTTGGAGGGGAACTTGCAGCTGGTGGTGTTCCTATATATTTGCCATTCATGTCCTCCATGATGGAAATAGTCATAGGTTTGGAAGGTACTATCTAAGGGGCCTTGGTGAATTTCTGCAGTGCATCTTGTAGATCGTACACACTGCTGCTACTCAGCGTCGGTGGTGGAGGGAATGGATGCTTTTGAATGTGGTGCCAATCAAATCGGCTGCTTTTTCCTGGATGGTGTCAAGCTTCTTGTGTTTTGTTGGAGCTGTACCTGTTCAGGTAAGTGGAGACTATTCCACTGCAGTCCTAAATTGTAGCTTATAATTAGTGAACAGGTTTTGGGAAGTCAGGTGGTGAGTTATTTGGTGCAGTATTCGTAGCCTCTGGCCTGCTCTTGTAGCCACTGTGTTAATGTAGTGAGTCCAGTTGATTTTCCGGTCAATGATAACCCCCAGGATGTTGATAGCGGGGGATTCAGTGACTGTAACACCATTGAATATCAAGGCACGGTGATTAGATTGTCTCTTATTGGAGGTGGTTATTGCCTGTCATTTGTGTGGCATGAATGTTACTTGCCACTTATCAGCCCAAGCCTGGATATTGTCCAGATCTTGTTGCATTTGAACATGGACTGCTTCAGTATCTGAGGAGTCACGAATGGTGCTGAACATTGTGCAATCATAAACAAACATCCCCACTTCTGACCTTATGATGGAGTGAAGGTCATTGATAAAACAGCTGTAGATGGTTGGGTCTAAGACACCACCCTGAAGAACTCTTGCACAAATGTCCTGGAGTCAGATGACTAACCTCCAACAACCACAACTATCTTCCTTTGCATGACTTCAACCAGTGGAGAGTTTGCCCCCTGATACCCACTGATTCCAGTTTTGCTCCATTCGGTCGAATGCAGCCTTGATGTCAAGGGCTATCACTCTCGCCTCACCTCTGGAATTGAGCTCCTATGTCATATCATATCCTTGTCAGTGGTCTGCTCTGAAATACTGGATCTCAGTTAGTGGTGTTTCACTGTCCATAAATGCTAACCTCTTGACTGTTCCTCACATTTCCTCTCTTATCTTAGAATTTCTGTTCCTGGCAACTGTCTGGAATTTTACCAAAAGTTGTGTAGAAGTTGGGTTCGAACTGGATCCAGCCAGAATATAATAAGCTGCAGGATAAACATTAAGTGTCTAGACTGAAGAGAGAAGAATGAGCATTGGCTTGAGGCATGAGTGTTTGCCTGGAAAACTCTGGATGTGTGGCCAATCAATGAGGCTCAGAGAAGTAGAACAAAAATAAATCCTAATGTGCGCTCAGATCTGTGGCCATTAGATCCTGCACATCCCATACCGGTAATAAAGTGGTAATAAAAATCTACCATTATCGAAGTATCTGATGGTAGAATTCCTGGAGTAACTGGGATCGAAGTTTGCCATGAGTGGGGCTATGTACTGAGTTGCAGTCAGCATCCTGTGGATAACCTCCCCGGTGAATATAAAACCTGAAATAAAAAGAATGAGATACATTAGAGGCCATCGTAATTCCTGATGTTTCTCAGAGTCTTTACTTTGCGGGAGTTGGTTTGTTGAGGAAGGTGTGGGGTGACAGCAGCATAGAACAGATTTCACCTTCTCTGAGTGTCAATGTATACATTTCAAGCAGTTCTATTCTGGGACTGGATATTTTGCTTTTGCTTGTTCTCTATTTTCTGTTGCTTCCACTCTGCATCGTCCCTAAATAAGCCCAGGATAATGCTTCCCAGAAAATGCTAACACACTTTTGCAATTTTGGTTTACCCCCATTTCTGTGGATAGAGGAGGAAGTGTCAAATATTTATAGGACCATAGAGTCTTACAGCATGGAAACAGACCCTTCAGTCCAACCAGTCCATGCTGACCATAATCCCAAACCAAACTAGTTGCATCTGCCTGTGCTTGGCCCATATCCCTCCAAACATTTCTTATTCATGTACTTATCTAAATGTCTTTTAAATGTTGTAACTTTACCCTCATCCACCAATTTCTCTGGAATTTCATTCCACACACGAACCACTCCCTGTGTAAAAAAATTGCTTCTCAAGTCTTTTTTTAAATCTTTCTCCTTTTACCTTTAAAATATGCCCCCGGTCTTGAAATCCCCCACCCTAGGGAAAAGAGACCTGCCATTCACCTTATCCACACCCTTCATGATTTTTATAAACCTCTCAATGTCACCTCACAACTTCTTACACTCCAGTGAAAAAAGTCCCAGCTTTTTTTATTTTTTATATTTTATATCCGTGGGATATGGGAGTCACGGGAAAGACCAGCATCTGTTATCCATCCCTAATGCCGCTGAATGAAATACTTTCTTCAGTTGTTTCAGAGGCAGGTAAGAGTCAACTCATTCTTTTGGGTCTGGAGTCACATACCGACCAGATAAGGTAATGATGGCAGATTTCTCTCCCTCAAGCCCTGTCATGAACCAGATGGACTTGTGCAACAATTGACAATAGTTTCACGATTTCATTACAGAGATGAGTTTAAATTGTGTTTATTGGTTCCAAGTTCCATTCACGAAAGATGGTGCAGTTGTGGTAATGTGAACCTGTGTCTCCAGAACATTAATCGGGGCCTTTGGATGACTAGCACAGTGACATTACCAGTCATGGTCTAAGGATACAGGGTAGAAGATTTAGGACTGAGATGAGAAGAAATTTCTTCACCCAGAGAGTGGTAAGCCTATAGAATTTGTCACCACAGAAAGTAGTCAAGGCCAAAACATTGGTATGATATCAAGAAGGAATTTCATATTGCACATTGAGCTAAAGCATTCAATGGATATGGGAGATAAGCAGGAGGCTTTTAAATTGGATGATCAGCCATGATCATAATGAATGGCAGAGCAGGCTGGAAGGGCTGAATGGCCTAATCCTGCTCCTGTTTTCTATGTTTCTATGTAATTGCACCACCAACTCCCAGTTTATTCGGTGGATGTTCCATTGCACAGACTGCACGTAGTGAAGGTTCTGGACGAATGTGAACTGGGGAAGCCTAACAAGCAATGCTCGCAGACCAGAGCTGAGAGGGCATCAAGGTAAGTGAGGATGGGCAGCAGAGTCATATACTGGCTGGGTGAACTACTCATTTTAAATCATGCATCCCTCTTTAATGTGTGTCCCCAAGTGACAATAGGAAAGAAAGAAAGACTTGCAATTATACTGCGCTTCACAACCACTGGAGTGCTTTAGAACCAATGAAGTAATTCTTGAATTGTAGTCACTGCTGTAATGTAATGTAACCACAACAACCAATTTGCACACAGCAAGCTCCCAGAAGCAATATGATAATGATCAGTAATCTGTTTTATGGTGTTGACTGGGGGATAAATAATGATCCAGGACAACTTTGCTGCTCTCTTTCTAAACAGAGCCACGGGATCATTTGTCTCTCCCTCAATCAGGCAGTCGGGGAATCAGCTTAACATCTCTCTTCAGAGATGGCATTTCAGACTGGTACTATCTCAATGCTACACTAGGGGAGGCAGCGTGTTAATGTCACTGGGTTAGTAGTTCACAGGCCCAAATTAATGCTCTGGGGCTATGGGTTCAAATCCAATGATGGTGGATGATGAAATTTAAGTTCAATAAAATATGGAACTAAAAGCTAGTCGAATGACAACCTTGCAGCCATTGTAAATACCCACCTGGTTCTCTTGTGACCTTTAAGGAAGCAAATCTGCCATCCTTACCCAGTCTGCCTCGCAAGTGGCTCCAGACCATACAGTAATGTGGTTGGCTCTCAAATGCCCTCTGAAGTGGCTCAGCAAGCTACTCAGTTCAAGGGCATCTGCGATGGGCAATGAATGCCAGCCTTTTTAGTGATTCCCGTGTCCCATGAAAGAATAAAGAAATCTTCAATTCTGCACTCAAACCGCAGAATGGGGCTCGAACTTAGAAACTTGTGACTCAGAGGTGAGAGTGTCACTCACCGAGAACAGCAACTCTCATTGATTTTTACAGCACGACCAATCACTGCTTAATGCAGAACTGACAATGCCATGTAGTTTACATGAATAAGCCTGAAAGGTTAACAGGAATAGTCTACATTGAAATGTTGAAACATTTATGCATTCATACAGATGTAAATGTCTTTAATTGCAGAGCTCTAACCAATGTCATGGCCACAAAGTCCCTAAACCTGCCAACTTTTCATTCTTTTCAGAATACAGTTACTTTAAGATGAAACTATTTGCTAAATGGTCTCTGTTTTACATTTTGGTAAATGCGGCTGTATTACATCGAGTGCAGCATTTCAAAAAACCCTTCTCCAAATTAAATAATGGTTTGGGATTCCACCCAGCGAAAAGGGACTGACACACAGTTACTCTGGAATCAGCATTAATGTCCCCCATTTGTGGAGAGAGCACCACCTTTGGTGAGTTGCAGGTGAATCGGATTGGCTGGCAGCTCTGTAGACTCAGCAGCGCCTTGTTCAAGCAGTGGCCACAGCTGGGACTGCAGGCAGATTCCAAACAAGAGGACTACATGGACCTAGAATTTAAGGGAAGGCAGGGTAGCGTCCCAGAGGTCTCCAGAACAGAAAAAGGCCCTTCAGCCAATCTAGTCCACGTCAGTCACAAACAAGCACCAACTGTTCTAACCACTAATTCTAGCTTGCTTTCATTTTGAACTGATGCTGGTTGATCAGAGCCCAGCTTTCAGATCTCAGCAAGGGGGTTCAGAGAGGTGGGAGCTGAGTTTGAGATGCTGGCGGGGTCGATTACTGAAGGAGGGGCAATGACCTTAGCAGCGTAGCATCTACAATGGGCAAAGGAGGTAGGCCCAGTTCCCCTCCTACTAACCCCCTTACCCTTCCCCAGCACCCTGCAGACAGCAGCAGTGAAAGTTGTCTGTCTTTCCACGTTACCTGATGCTCATAATATAACAGAGTGAGGCCCTTAAATGGCTGCCAATTAACTGCATAAGGGCCTCAATGAGCCAAAGGGTGAATGGATTTTTAACACCACCCCCATCCATCACAATGTGGGAGAAAGATCAGAGGTGGGCAGTAGGCGGTGCGTAGGCCACACATTTGATTTTATGGGTCCCCCAAATCTAAAAATCTAGAAGAAAAGCTTTAACATTCAGCTCTACATCTTAACCACACTCCTATAGTGATTGGAGCGAGGTCAGCCAGGAGAATCCATAGAATATGAGTTCCCTGATTGGGGCTGTTAATCTGGTCCAATCAGATATGAACAGGAGTGTCAGGGGTTCTGCTCACTCTAGGAGCCAGCTCTGCACTAGCTGGTCAGGGTCACATATTATACACTACGTGTAAATATAAGGTGACTTGGTGACTGGATACCGGCCTTCGTGGAGTTATTTCAGCCACCAAGTGCATTAAAACCGTAACTCAGTGGTAAAAAAGCAATCTCCACAGTTTCATGCTCAATGCTATTTATAAGGATGATCCCTGCTTTGATGTTGGATCTGTGCTAGGTCATTTAGGCGTTATAATTATATTCAGTCTTCTTGAACTGAGGAGAGTCAAAGCAATCAGACTGGAATTCCTACTCCTGAGGACAATTCAGTGATTCCAAAATTTACATTCTTTTCTTTAATCTAGTGAAGCCATTACAGAGGGCAGTTAAGAATCAGCAACAATCTCAAGTCACATATGGGCCTGACTAGATAAAGATGGCAGAATTCCTTCCCAAAAGGATATTAGTGACCCAGATGGGTTTTTAGCAACATTCGATGACAGCTGTCACCAAAACAGCGACTATTTTTGTGTTCCAGATTTATTAATTGGATTTGAATTCCATCAGCTGTTATGATTGGGTCAATCTCCTGTTCCCAGAGAATTAATCTGGCCTAAGACATCGCCGCTAATCTATCATCCCCAAAGCTACTGCACTCAGACACTGATTGAGAGAATGTTCAGATTTGGCATTACATGTGTTACATTGGACAGTTTGCTCATGGTCAATAAGTAGGTTGACCTTTCCGCTTCCGAAGGTCTGGCACAGGCACAACTCAGCCCGACTGCCTGACACTGCATTGCTGGTGCCTTGAAAATGGAATCTGAACGTCGCATCAACGTTAAAACAGGAGGATAAGAATCTTCATGACTGTAAGTGATCAGTAAACCTTGTCTTAAGCACCACATCTTTGTTTTCAAGAAAACCAATTTCACACTTTAGGATGTCTCACTACAAACACGATGCTGACAAGTAAATCAGTGTTTGTGCACACAGCACAATGCTTCTGGTGGCAATTCTCCCAGTACGCAACACAGCAGGTATTCTCTGATATAGCAGGAACTGCAGATGCTGGAGAATCTGAGATAACAAGGTGTAGAGCTGGATGAACACAGCAGGCCAAGCAGCATCAGATGAGCAGGAAGGCTGACGTTTCGGGCCTAGACCCTTCTTCAGAAATGGGGGAGGGGGAGCGGGCTCTGAAATAAATAGAGAGGAGGGGAGCAGACATAGCAGGTAGATAGTGGAGCGGATAGG